ATAATTATGCAATTGAGTCTGCACAGCAACTTGTGAGACAAGTGCTATTAGTATTTCCATTTCATGGATGAGGGATTGAAACCCAATTAGTCCGAGTAAATTTCATATTTTTTAAAATTTTTTATTGTGTTTTTCTTTTTTTTAAGAGAGAGAGAAAATGTGAGGTGGGTAGGGGCAGAGAGAGACAGAGACACAGAATCTGAAGCAGGCTCCAGGCTCCAAGCTGTCAGCACAGAGCCTGACGTGGGGCTCGATCTAATGAACCACAAGATCATGACCTGAGCTGAAGTTGGACACTTAACCGACTGACCCACCGAGGCACTCCATTCCAAGTAAATTTCTTAGTATGAAATAACTAGAAAGTAGCAATGCTAGAGTTTGTGCCCACATTTCTCAGAATTAAAGTCCATGTGACTTCCTTTAATCTACAATATAAAAGGGAATGATCTCCCAGATAGAAAGATTTGTTGGATAGATGGATGGTTTGATGGATGGATAAGTGGATAGAGTCATTTAATAGATATTTGTAGAATGAATGAGTAAATTATATATAGATATAGATTATAGATATAGATAGCTATATAGATACATCATACACACATCATAACTTATATTTTTATCTTTGTAGGTCTGATTTTGTGACTCTCTTCCTTTGTCTTCTGTGTTTGTTTGGCATGTTTACCGTTAATTTTCTCTGAACTTTCCTCAAACCTTGAGTGAATTTTCTCCTGTCCCAGGAGCCAGGCTTTAAGGGTAAAACTCACCCAGAGATCTGCTGATTAGGTTTCTGTTGGGAAAAGGCCATCTGTCTTTGGGGGGAGGAAGCTACCTCCCTGCACTGACAGCAGCCCTTGCTTAGAGGAAGATTTTAAAGTGACTGGACCAATTGAAACCCTCAGGATAATCCTATGCTCATGTTTTATTGCACTGGGAAAATAATATGAGACAATGTGATATTTCCTGTTTGAAAAGTTTTAGCAATATTACACTTTCAAAAAAAATGAAGATAATATGTCATTATCTTGGCTCCCACACAGCCTGTTTGCTTATCCTAAAATAGCATTTCTTAAAGTCAGTTAAGTTCTTTTAAGGAAAAATAGATAATTAATTCTCCCACAACTGAGTTAAATTATTTTCTTACACATTTTGCTTAAATATATACAAATGTAAAATTGCCTTATTCATAAGCTCTTATTCAACTGTGAAACTCAAACACATTTATAAATCAATTTTATCTGAAACAACAAAGCCAACAAAATTCAAATGTTCCACTACTTATTATGCAAAATAAACGATTGCTTTACTGAAATTAAACTATTGCTCACAAGAAATGGGGTAATGGGTGATAACAGTGCATTTTTATTTAGGTTGGACATGTCCACACTAACTGGAGAAAAGTAATGATCCTATTTTTCCTTTCCTTGTCTCTAGAATATTTTGAAAGTCTGTTGTATAGTGTACCATGATGTTATTTGGCCTACGTCTTCTGTGAATGCATTTTTTATTGTAGAGTGTTCACTCACCCCTGTTCTCTTCTCATTAGCCCACAACAGGTAAACTAATTGTCTATGGTGTCACAATTATTCTAAATGCAATTCCAAACAAAAAGACAAATAATGTGGCATTGCTCAGTTATAATTTGTTCACACAAACCAATAGATACTTTTTATTATTTTTATTGGATCATTTTTCCAAATTAAGAAATTTTATTCATGTTAAGTGTTTGCAGACTCTGGAAAATTCATCAGTAGTTACACAAGAATCTGGAACGCTTATTTAAGAAATACTGTTTTGAAATACATCAAAACTTAAACAAGAACTCAGTAAATAATTAATTTGGGGAGGTTTAAGTTAGTAAATATAATAACGAGCATGGATTATTTCTAAGCTTGTGTAAATAGCATGAACAAAACCTTTCATGTTAACTTTTCATACTTTCAAAAAACTTTGTTAGGCATCCAGTCTGAGTAAACATCAATGAGAGGAGCTTCAAGGACTGCAACAGTGATAAAGAGAAAGTCCTTGACTTGGGAAACTCTACAAAGTGAGGGAGATAAGGCATGTGTACCAGCACAATTCCATGCAAGATGTACTAAGTGCCATAGGAGATACTGTACTGGTGTAAATGCCACCAGGGTATGCAGGAATGATCCATAAGATACATGGGTTTCATATATGTCCCAGTTTCCTCTGTGTTTGCCCCACCTCTCCATTACACTGAATTTCCTATGAAACACTGAGGTTCTAGAAGTACTGAAAATCATTTTATTGATTTTAAATGTCTGAATTTTATTGAAAATGATTATATGGAAGTGAGGTAAGTTATCTATTACACTATTCAACTTTATCTACAAGATATATAGGTAGGCAGGTAGATGGCTGATAGAGAGGACAGATAGATGGATACATACATGCATACATACATAGATGTGCGGATACATAGTTATTGCTCAGTTGTGGTCAATTACTTGTTTCATAGTCTCAGAATACATTCAGGAATAGCAGTTTTGTACTTTAGGTAGAGGAGCAGGTCTGAGAGTGAATGTTACCTTAGTTCATACCTTTAGAAGAATTTATGTATTTCCACTGCGCATTCTCACATGACTGTTAGGGAAGTTTACAGTTATTTTCTCATTATTCCTTCTGCTGTTTTTCTGCTTGAGACAAAGAACAGCATAATAGTCAGGGAATCTGGGTTCTAATTTCAGTTTGCCTCCATTGACTGTGTGAACTTGAGCAAATCTCATAACCATGCCTAGCCTATATTTCCTCATCTACAAAATGAGAGAATATAGATACAATCTACTCTTTAAGCCCTTTTAGCTCTACAGCTGTGGTGCTGTGAATTAAATTGCATAGGATAAAACCACCTTACAAGAATGAGCTGTATCTTATTAGTTTGAAATCATAATTATTCTTTACATTTTTTGCAATATTAAGAGAAGATCCTTCTTAGTTTAAGCTAAATTGAGAGTACAAAATGTGTCTTGTAAAAAAAGTGTTTTATGAAAAATACTGAGTACATAAATATATGAGACAAATTTGCTGGAGCCTTGTTTAGAAATTAAAATTTTTTCAGAAATAATTTTAAGTAGTCTGTCAGTACTTGCTCTTTGAATACTTAAAGTTTGAATGAGGTCTCCAGCTTCCTAAAATTATATTTCAAGAATAAAAGAAATATTACATCACAATAAGTTTAGTTATAGTACCTGAGGCATTTTACAAGATCCCAATTATTTGGAAGTTGGTTTTCTAAGTATGATATTTATAGTGAGAATGTCTAATTCTCTGGCCTGTTAGTCGTCTGTTTCCTCATCTGAAACATAGAAGTAACAATAGTAAATCATTCATTGAAATAATGAGGGCAAACACTTTAGCAGAGTGCTTGGCACATAGCACCGTATTTTTAAAAAGCTGCTTCTATTCCTGTGACTGCTACCCGGTCTAGATAAGGGTGTTTCTACAGTGCATCAAGACTGTATGTAGGCTATAGTGTCAAGTGGCTATTTAAAAATCAGGAACTTAGACATGTGATGGCAGATATACTCAATAAGGTGATCTAGCTTTTAAAATTCAGATAAATCCTATGCAAGTGGATTGCTCACCCCAAAATCTGGGTTTCAAGCACTATACTCTGTCATCCTGGGTGGGGTAAGGAAGGCTTTCCAGAGAAGGCTAAATCTAAATGAACCAGGAAAAAATAGGATTCCCACTGCCCTCTATCAACCTGCTTGTAAATGTGCAAATTCTGATCGTAGAAAAGTCAAAGTAAGGATTTATTCTGAAAGCTAACATAACGAGAACAAATCCCACTGCCCCACCCTCCTTGTGTAGAACAACTTGTTTCTGTAAGGGCGGTACATGGGATTATTTGCTACTTCTTTCATTTTTAGTTGATGATATACAGAACATTGTTTCTTGAATATTTATCTGACTTGGTTATATAAAATTAGCACTGGGATATGCTCCAGGAGGTCCCACTTGAGCCCAAAACCTAGTTATCTGGCGTTTTACAAACCAGTTATTTTAATGATGAACCCCCCTTAACCCCATCTTGTTGAGTGAAACTATTGTCCTGATGAGGTGAGTATATATCATATGGCCTTAAAAATCTTTAAAACTTCTGCTGTCTCAAAAAGTAGTAGCTCTTTAGAAAGAGACCATCTGATATATCGTTTCCATGTGTTTCATTCAAATTTTATCTTCCCAGGATTTTCTTAATCAATATTGTTTATACTTATCCTGAATAATGCTGTTTGATCACAAATTCACATTTTGAGGCCTCATTTTTAGGTTTTAAATCATGGTATTTCTGCAAATCAGCATAGAAACTATTGCAAAGAAAGTTTTCTGGAAAACCACAAAACATTTTATATTAAGCCCAAGATGAATCTTCTCTTCTCTGAATTTGTGTTACTTGGTACAAAAACTTTGTTTCTGTTTGCATGAACAGCTTTTAAAAACAAATTGCCGATGGGGCGCCTGGGTGGCGCAGTCGGTTAAGCGTCCGACTTCAGCGAGGTCACGATCTCGCGGTCCGTGAGTTCGAGCCCCGCATCGGGCTCTGGGCTGATGGCTCAGAGCCTGGAGCCTGTTTCCGATTCTGTGTCTCCCTCTCTCTCTGCCCCTCCCCCGTTCATGCTCTGTCTCTCTCTGTCCCAAAAATAAATAAAAAACGTTGAAAAAAAAATTAAAAAATAAATAAATAAATAAAAACAAATTGCCATCCAAATTAATTATTTTTTTTTTTATTCTGTGTTCATTTTGCATAGCTCCCAGAATGCCAAACCCTGTTTTTCTCTTTATTCTTTTTTCTTTTTCTGATTACAATATATGTCTTTGTGTTTTATCTACAATTTAATAAATTCTATCGTACTTATTTGGGGGGGGGGGATAGAAAATAAAATCTTAATCAGCCATATTGTTTCCTTACTTTTCCCCTTTGCTGCCTGTTTTGGACGTCTCATTACTTCCTTTTCTTTTGTTACTGTGTATTACAGAGGAGGTGTCTGCAAGGATCGTTCAAGTAGTCACGGCTGAGGCTGTAGCAGTCCTGAAAGGTGAACAAGAGAAAGAAGCTGAACATAAAGTCCAGCCTGCAGCTCTGCCTTTAGGTAAATGGGAAAGAACCCTCGGTCAGGGGCTATGCCTGCTGTGCCCTGATCACAGGACCAAGGCTTCATGTTCAAAGGAAGGCCCTACTTCATACTTCATCCTTACATATAACATTCATCAAACACCTCAGTTGGGAGGTGCTGGCACCTGTTTTCACTTTCTTCCCAGGCTCATTTGTGGTATTTGGACAGTCTTTAGGGTAATAAGCTTATAGTTAGACTTTGCCCCTAAATCGTTTTTAAATTTTCATTTCTAGACCACTGGAGATACTTACTATAAAAATAAAGCCAATGCATATTGATGTCACGACACCCACTTGTATAGAAAATGTGTTAAAACTTTAATTAGAAATGATTATTTCCCTTTATGGATTTTGGCGAATGATTGTCTAGTCTTATTTCAGTCTCCCTGAACCAGCTATAGAAAACCTACAGTCAGGGCTTTGTTAGAATCATGAGTGACTTTGTATCCCAGTATGGTCTTCACTTGGTTCATCTAAGGGCACTAGATAGCATTGCTCTCTCCCTTGGTCACAAGTCAGATGCCCTCCAGAGCCAAACAAGTAATGTAATGGTGTTTGCCAAAGAAAACACTCTCAGCCAAAGGCTTGCTGACTCTTCTCTAAATAGATGGCAGATAGATAGATAGATAGATAGATAGATAGATAGATAGATAGATGATAGATACATGGTAGATAGGTAGATAGATAGATGTAGGTGTATATACATGCAAAGACACAAAAAAGAAAACTCCTAAGTTCAACATATGTCTATTTCACAGGTACATATAACTAATCCACAGAAAGGTATAATTTTAAAGCCTAAAAAATAGTACATATCCAACGCATGTCTCATGTACCCTTAATATTTGATTTTCTGGTCAGTACCCCTTTAAGCAATTTGAGCAACTCAAAAAATTAAGCAATTAAAATTCTGCTCTCCCAGAATAATCAATACTCATTATTTGTAGTAGAATGTTCTTTGATTATAAAGGTTTATTTTTCTCTTAAAACAGGAGGGAAAGTATATTATTCAAAGCATTGACCTTCTGCTTGTGGTTCACTTCTATTCCTTAAATAGAAGACCCCCACCCATTTTTTTAAAATTTGAAACTTGAGGGGAGCCTGGGTGGCTCGGTTAAGTGTCCAACTTCAGCTTAGGTCATGATCTCACGGTTCATGAATTCGAGCCCTGCGTCGGGCTCTGTGCTGACAGCTTGGAGCCTGGAGCCTGCTTCAGATTCTGTGTCTCCCTGTCTTTCTGCCCCTCCCCTACTTGTGCTCTGTTTCAAACAAACATTTAAAAATTAATTAATTAATTAAAATAAAAATCGAAACCTGAAAATGTGTTATATAGAAACCTATGGGTCAAGGGGTTAAGAAGTTGCCTGTGACCCCAAAGCTCCAACTAGTAACTGATTTAGGAGGGGGGAAAACAGATGCTCTTTAAAATAGATTTTCCTGCTGGCCTTGATGATAAACATTTCCTTTCGCAATTTCTCACCTTCATAGGAGTAGTCATAAAGAAGGCAAGAGTCTTGAAAAGAAGTAGCGTTAACTGTGGTGTTAACATCTTTTAGAACCTTTCTCTTTGGCTCTCTATGTATAATGCCCAGGCCAGAAGATTACTCAGCTCCCACTAGTGCATGGTTTCCGTCTGAAGGTTGCCTCAGGCTCTGATAGCTTCATTTTTTCTTTTCTGAGAATACATAACAGAAGATGCATTTTGACATTAGACTCAGTGGACAAAATGTTGTTTAAAAAAATACATCACCTATAATACTGTGAATGACGAAGGTTACATATGTTTCCAGATCAAAAATTTAAACAATATAGAGTTCTAATTTTTTTTTCAGTCAGCCAAGCTAAATCCAAACTACAGTGCTTGCCTGTGCGTTTGAATACAGTAGATTAGGGCCAGAATAAAATATTATATTAATCAAACAAGCAGACACAAATTAATGGGATTAATGATAGAACTTTCGCAGGCATCAGTAATCCATTCTTTAGAGGGAAGACAAAATGAATTTTTTAAAATATTAAATGCTTTTCTTTCTTTTTAGGTTCTTTAAAATATGTGAATCAGGTAATGGGACAAAAAATAAGTCAAGCGCAACTTACTATTGAATCTTTTCCTAAATTTCGTGGAGTGGCCTTTTTAGAGATGGCAGAGCTGTTACCCATCTACTGACCTAGCAGGATTAATTGCTGTATCTCGTTTTTCCACTGTTTGCTCTTTAGCAGCTGAAGAGACACCTAATCTGCCTCCTTCTCCACCTCCGTCACCAGCCTCAGAACAGACTGTCACAGTGGAGGAAGGTAAGGCCTATTGGACTTTTTGAGGTTTGTCTTCTGGTAAAGTGTAAATGGACATCAATCCATAAGCAGTGGACTTCAGTATAGGTTAGTACATGACCCAGCTGAGAGCTGTCTGTTTCAAACAGTCGAGAAGAAACAAAGACTCTACATAAATGTATAATCATTTATCTATACAAAATCAGAAGTAGAGGAATATGCTAAATAAAAAAAGGAAAAATCATCTTGATGCAGGAGAAGGTAACTATTTAAATTGCTCAAATAGCTACAGAGAACCAGTTCACTTAATTAATGTAAAATGTTTTGACAGAGAAGATACAATCCTATCTTATAAGTGACTGAACAAAAATAAATTTATTGGTGAAATTATAAGGAAGTGTTGTCTGAAATTGTCTCTGTTTTCCTCACTATTGTGCTGCCAAGGCCTTCCCTAGGGCCTGGCCCATAGCAAACTCTCAATAAATATTAATAAATAAATGAAGTAGTCAATGAATGAATTTGATATTGAGAGCAGTGAACTGGAAGCTGAGATCATGGCTTCTTTCCTGCTGAGACCTGTTATTGTCTATGAATATATTTATGCTTTTATTCAACATAAAATGCTATGTCAGCTTTTCAGTTCCAATAAAACAGAGGGATGCCTTTGAAGAATATTCATTCAGAATCTGAGCTGAGAGGCACTACTGAAAAGCAAACTATTACTGGTTTTCTGACTTAGATCAGTTAACTTTTGTGTATTGTTTGAGTTACAGGCAAAGACAGAGAAGAGCGATAGCTAAAGTTTTATTTCAATATAATTTAGTTTTCTTATAGCAAAATCAGAATTTTAAAGCTATTCCATTTTATTCACTTACTGTTTTATTTATTTTCGTTTTATTGTCCCTTTTAGCAATTATTTTACTGGGTTAAAAATTGAACAATGTCACAAAAGAGTCATTTTTTTTATAATTTATAATTAGGTTCATTTAAAATATTCTTTGAGTTCCTCAATACAGATTTTCCAAGTTACAGAACTGTAAACTATCAATAAACATAATTTATTTATCATCACAGATTTATAAACCTAAACTTCTTTTAATGAGGTTTTTCTTTCTTAAATTGAGGACTTTTTTCTAATTTACTGCCTGAAATAGCATTAACTGAGCTAAATTATTCTAAAGAATAAAAGAAAACTTGGGGACTATAATTAGTGGATATAATCAGGATTATTAGTTGATTTCCTGAAAATGTGATTTGATCTTTTCCTTTATAGATTTGAAAGATTTTTTTGTCCTTATTTTCATCCATTCATTGACACATACTTTCGGAGCACCTACAGTGTTCCCAGCACTCTTTAAATTCTAAGTATACACTAGTGGGCAAAACAGACATGATCCCTGCTTGTAAGGAGCACAGAGTCTGGTGGAGGACAGCAATCCAATAAATAAGCTTACAAATAATTTCAAGTTGGATTAGCACTAGGAAGGAAAAGAATAGAGCTTTAAGATAGAACAAGGGAAATCTTGTTTTATTGGATGGTGAGAAGACAGTTAAGGAGCTGAGCTCAAAAGCATGAGGAAGAGTTGATCAAGCAAAGATGCAGGGAAAAGGGCATTTGGGGTGGAGAGACCAGGACATGCAGCGGAACTCAGGTGGACAAGAACATGAAGTGTTCTAGCAACCAAAGACTTCGCATGGCTACTGGGTAGTGAGAAAGGGGTTGAGTAGTGAAGGAGTTTAAGAGTCAGCGGTAGCCAACTTGGTTCATGAGCCTGGATTTCACTGGGGATGCGCTGGAGAACTTTCCATGACAGCTGTACTTCCCTCAGGCCATTGAAAATGTTTCTGAGCCTCTACTTAAAGCCTTTCAAGTATCAGAGAATCTTCTTAACTCAAGATGGTCACTTGGGTATGATGTTCACTCCAAAATCGGCTGGAAAGCTAATAATTTACTCTTCTTAATCTTATATGGGAGTTGGAGCGGAAAGGGTAGTAGGATCCATCTATCTGCCTGGGAATTCACCCAATCTGCTTTCTGATTGGTGCTATAGTGCATATAATGAAAATATAAATAAGTCATAGAATCATTTTCATATTTTGATACACTTTCCAGAGTAACTATTTCCTTATATTTCGAGATTGCTTTCCCCAAGTTGTTTTGAGTATATTTGGGGACATTTTCAATTTACTTCCTATTGAAGATGATCCAAGATATTTTATCCTTAACATTTTTCAAACCAAACTTGTATTTTTATTGAATTATTACTTTTTATTTTTTCAAAAGAAAGCATTAAACTATATGAAGGCCTAATGATTTGCTTTTCAAAGGATAACCATTTTTTACTTATATGAAAAAAATATGTGTCCTTTATAAACTCTACCTCATTAATTTAAAAGATCAAGTAATATTCTTATATATGTGAAAGATATGGGTCTAGGTAATTCTACTAGCCCTGTCTGATTTTAGGCCATCCTGAAAGCATGTATAATTTTTTTTTTAGGTTTTGTTTATCAGAAAATAAATAGTGAAAAGTTACAAGACAGGATTCAACTCTTCAGTTTTTCGAACCAATTGGTTTGCAAAGACCTGGGAAAAATTCTATTAATGTATAGCTCATAGGTTGGGTGGAAAAGGAGTATGTGGGTTTTTCATCTGCAAGATTTTTTTTTTACCTACCTCAACACACCCTCAAGGAAACTTTAATCTAAAGGCATGTGACTGCCAATTCATTTATACAAATGTAAGAGAGCTCTTAGATTAAATTGAGTAATTCAATGTTTTTGAGGATGTGATTATTTTTATGTTATCAAAGGTTTTTAAATCTGTTCTTTCCCAAAGGGGAAGCATGAACGCTTCCACCAAAAATAATTTAAGATGTTAATTACTGTAAGTTATGAATATTCATTTATTATAATTGATGTAATAATAATTCTCAGAATGTGTGCTTATTTGGGGAAACTAAGGGATTTTGATGGCAAAAATAAATCAGTAGCACACTTAAAAGGAAACTCAGGTACAGTGAATCAATTAATACTGCACCAGTTGTCATGTTTTCAGATTAATCTCCTTTTTCTTTTTGGCCTAACCATAATAGTTGTCATTTGGACTGAACTGTTAGAATTTGGAAGCCTGTGCAAGAACAATGGAATCATCTGAAAATAGAACCAGGAAACTTTCTGCCCTCTTAGGTTTGCTCCAGAATCCTAGGGTGGTGTTTTCCTGTGTCAGTGATGTCGTAAAGTTATCGTTGCTAATCTGAAAGTATTTTTCCTTCCAACTCACTCTGGGCAGCAAAAGCTTGCAGAATGGAAAGGGCTTAGAGATAGTGGAGAACAATGTAAGTAGAGCCAATTGCCCCAGGTGGTGGGACAGAAGCCGCGATGCCAGGACAGGCAAAATCACGAAGTCACTGATACCCCAAGAGACTCCGTGTCTATTACAAAGTGACTACTCATTTGTACCAAAGGGTACAGACAGACCAAGGCTGGGCTTTATGTGGCAAATCTTACTTTAACTCAATATAGAGTTTCCAATGCTTTAAAAAAAAAAAATTGTACGAAAACAAATCAGGGAGATGTACTCCTCCACTGAAATCAGGTAAGCTTCATTTCTGAATATTATCATTATGCAACAGAACTATGTAAAAGTCCAAGATTCATCAGGTAACCATATCCTTTGAAATATCACATTATCAAATGAAATAGAATATTTCATGGTGAAAGCAGAGTCCCTCTCCCAAAACAGGTGTACTTTTAGTAAAAGGAAACATTCAATCCTGACCATAAACAACAAAACTAACTTATGAGATGAATTTACTTTTTATAAATCTCTCAAGTCTGGCCTTGGTGTATCAAATGAATGGAAAGCACAGGTACATGACAAGTTGAGTATATCGAAGACAAAGATGCTAACATACGTGGAGTCCAGCATCACACTTGGCATTTTCTCAGATATCTCCTCATTTAATCCTCCCAGTAGCCCACAGAGATAGATATATTCACTTCCACTTTTTGCCCCTGGATGTCATGGCTAGTAATTCAGGATTGCAATCCAAATCTCAGTCCCTGCAGTCATAGCCCACTGTGTCCCTAAAGCCATTCTTCTCTTGGTTCTTAATGTAGGTCTAAGAAATGGAAGTGATCTTCCAATGAGGGTTTTTTTTGTTTAAGCTCCTGGACCAATTTCCTTTTTTTTTTTTTTTTTTTTTTTGAAACCATACCAAAATAAATAATTCATTTACTTATAATTAGTATGTATCCCACCTCCACTGGGTGTGAACCAAGAACACCTGCCATTCACGATTCCATAGCAAATAAGATCTATTTCTTTCATCATTATTGTTGGAACCAAGCACACTGGTTGGTCTTAGCTAGCCATGGTCCTCTTAGTATAACTTCCCTAGCACATCTCTGCAACTTGTAGATGGACTTGAGGCTCATAGGTCCGAAACAGAGACTTGGAGCACCTACAGCTAATAGTACCAAGACTGGACTTTGCCAGACATTCATTCATTTTGGAGTTGCCTGGCCATACAAATACTACAGAGAAGCTCCTTTTCACTGCAGTCATTAAAGTTTTTTGCTGTTTTTGTTGTTATCTGTTTAGAGTCAAAGTTTTCAGAATAGAAAATACTGTTTCTTTGAAATGGTACAGATCTGAAGCAAGACTCTGTACTGTTTTCACATTTTGGCACTTTCGAAAACAAGCAATGGCAACAAGAAAGAGGAGATCAAAATCTTCAAAAGGCTAATGCATTCAAGGAGTATTGCCTTTAAACTATCAGCTCTCAGCTTTAAATTCTTTCATTTTACATTATAGTTAACCCCTACTCCCCAGAAAATGTTGAAAAGCAGAGAGACAAATATGCCATTTTCACTTATTGATAGTCCATGCAATCTATTGAGCATATTGGAAGTTTTAGAAGTAACTTGAGTACATGAGGTGTTTAGAGCCTTAAGGAGTCCTAGAGGAAATATGAATGGCTAGGACATGTGACAAGCCCGGGGCTTATGATTCAGCCAGT